CTGTGTCGCCATGTGGTCTAGTGGTTGAGCGTGTGCCCGGGTTCGATCCCCGGCCGTGTCATATCAAAAGACGTTTAAAGATGGTACTTGTTGTTACCCTGTCTGGCGCTCGGCATTAAGGAGCTAAAACAAGGGGTCAAACATCTAGAGCCTGGGTTACTTTCAGATTCTATACAAAATTAAACACTGACCGAAGTGATAGGACATCGGATTCTACCCAAATAACGCTGGATGTCCATTTCATTCACTCACTCTCCTCTGTCTACAGCGTTTAAAGTACTCCAATTAACCCAAAAACAGGCAGAACCCCGTGAGTCAATGTTGAGATACTATATTTCCACTATATTTGTATATAAGGGAGTGAACTGAACTGAACAACATTTGGGAGATCACGAACTTGTGAAATGATTTGACAATAATTCCTAAAAGGCTATGTATGGACAGAAATATAGACAGGGACCTTACATGTTATAAACTTAATAAGTAGTTATTACGGAAATATCGCACAGGGATGTCGGGTCAGAATAATCCCCTGGTTTTAATTTATAGAAAAAAATCTGCTAAAAACTTCTTTGTTTTATTATTGCTTAGGTTTGTTTTATATCTAAACTGTGATATTTACCTTACTGTTTTACTGTCCTTTGTCGACAGGTCTTTAATTGTAGAAACTACCTTGTTCTCATCGCGATATGGCTGCAATACTGCCGATGCGATGTAAAATTTTAACTCACTCACTCTCTCACTCAGAGTAATCCACAGGACCATATGCTTGTCCTAAGAGTAGACTACAGTAAATTGTGTGCCTGGCTGATAGCGGATCCTTGATCCGGACAGGGTAGATAACTGCCACAGTCTTCAATCTCGTAGTGGTCAGGTTGAGGTTCACCTATCTACTTACCTTCCTATAGTTGACGAACACGGTTAACTGTGACGTAAAGCACACTGTACCAATTTTGTAAAATTGGACCCAAACTTTAGACAAGATGAACCATTAGGATATCTTGCTATCCTTTTAATACTTAGGTCACGTGAAAAAGGTTGTACTTCGCTTTATGATAACGAAGAACATCGCACATTCAACATGTTTTAAAATGTTGCGATGCTGATACATATGTGACGCGATGTCTTGATCATGTCCCAAAACTGCTACAAAACTGTAACTCATCTGGTCCACTGACTTCAAACATGTTTGCAGTTATCCCTGTATGCATGATCCCTGCTTCACCCTGTCTATTGTTACATCACTTCCAATTGTTAATATACAGAACCACACACTCATGGACGTATGGCTGGCTTCAATTACCTTATCTCTTCTAATTACTACTTTGTGTGTAAAACGCCAACATCAATTTGTCTGTTGTTTATTGTGATGACCATTTATGCTACCATACAATGTATAACACATACGATCGCTAACGCACTTTGTACCTCCATACCAAATAATCATGTTAATCATCATTATAACTACAGCATAGTAAGAGGTTGACCATCAATGCTATATTGTCATTAGTAGTAATATGAAAACAATTGATACAAAATCGAAACTTTGGACATGTGGTTTAAACATATTTTTTTATATTTCAACTGAAAATTGGGATGGGTAAACAAGACAGCACTTATTTAAATACCTATCCCTACATAGAAAACCGGTAACGAAGATGGTCAAAGTGTTTACAAAAAATATTTACACAAAAATACCTTGGTAGTGAGTGATCAAGAATGATCAGCAGTGTCTGGTTATCAAATCTAAATCTAAACTTCAGTTTCCTTGAAGTGATTAAAAGGATCAATTGGTGGATCATAAGTGTATTTCATATTTAACCGGTTTTATCTGATAGGATAGAGCTGCATTAACACATGAAATGAAACGTACTAAACATTCTTTTGTTGGAAGTAGAATCCAAGAATTCAGGGAATCAAACATATGAGTAAAGAACTAGCCCCCTTGCTGCTAATGTTGAGTTGACGGAACTGATGCTTGGCGCTTGACCAGAGTGGAGCTATCAGAATCCTACCTTTTTTCTCCTCTGGTCTGAATGTCGCCAATGACGTTGTCGAAACAGGTGACCTAGGATTAGAGGTTGGATGTAATTTGGCTAGGGCAGAATCAAGAGCTAATTTCAGTTTAGATATTGGGGACTGACACGTCTGATGTGACTCCACGAATCGCTCATTGTCAGCCTTGAGATAAGCAGCATAAACGCCACACTTATGTAGTTCTGTTACCAGTTTATTTATATCTCTATCAAAGACACCTCCTGAGTTCTCGCGATGCCAGACCTTTGTCCCCTTCGGGATACAGTCGGGAAATTGACCCATCTCATCCTGAATCATCATCATCTATAATATTTAGTACCTTTTGTTCTAGACGGAGCATGTCAACCTTGTTATCAAGAAGTTCCTCCTCGAATTGGCCTAATCTGTGGATGACAGACACAATACTGTCATCGCTAGTACACAAACAGACTAGAAACCGGGAAAGGCATCTTAACTGAATAAAGATGCCCCTGGCTTTAATGGTGATGAGGCGTAAAGCAATGTTTACTCACTCACACATGTATTCTCAGGGAGACTATACAAAGAGGGAGTGGGCACTAAGAAGAAGTTCATATACAATATATAGTAGAACCGCTAATTAGTGTGTGCCTCACCTGTGGGTGGTCACGCTCCAAGGCGCTCATGGCCGATTCAGTGTGGGACAGTGATAAATGGAAAAATCTCCGTTCGCTGGTTCTCGCGTGACTCGGAATTACCCAACACAATCGAGATACCGCCGGGAACCAGCGAAAACAGAGGAAGTTTGATCCGGTAGAGTTACGTCGCTTTGCCGTTGTTTAATAAATGGGGGTTCACTCTTTCAAGTGAAAAAAACTGTGTGAGTTCTATTCAAACGCAGAGGAAAATATGCTATGATGTCCCGTGATTGGCAAACCAATCAAAGTCTAAAAATCCGCAAAATGTCTAGGGGCGATCCTAAAACAACCCTCACTTGAAGCAAACATATAGAATATGTGGAAAACAGATGTCATAAAGACCTGAACGTATTGCGGGCAATGTCATGCTCATCTTGTGGTACATCGAGGGACACTCTACAAATCATTTACCAGATCAAAAATTGACTATGGCTGTGAGGCCTTCCACTGAGCACTTCAAGCCTTCAGCAGCAGAAACTCAAACTCGAGACCAAACAAACAGAGAATCAATAATATTCTGTACCAATATATACAAAACTATCGGACCAAGGGCAACAGGTCTCACATAGATATTCACGGACATGAAAAAGCAGACACACCCTGGGGAAGCTGGCTCTCGACAAGCGGAGATACAGCCTATTCCCTTCAGTTATCTAGAGATAAAAAAGCAAAATCAAAGCCTCCATACCCGAAAGACGGCAAGCCCAGAGAGACGCAAGTAAGATCGGCAGATGGCTATACAAAATTCAACCCAAGATCCACCAAAAGCCGTACCCATATTCAAATGAAAGGAAAGTTGAAGTAGCCATCTCACGCCCAAGACTCGGTCACAAAAAAACACTATGACAAGGTATGTCCATCTTGCAATCAACCTGAATTGTTACTGGAATGTCAAGTATAGGCCCCAGCCTGGGCTCGGTTAAAACAAGAACTGCAATTAGATCCGCTATCTATCATATATCTTCTGAAGCCAAGAGATGCAAGAACGAAGGCCAAACTAACTCTATTTCTGAGAGATGAACAGTACCCGAACGTATATAAATAGAGCAGCCAAAGATAACAAATGAAATCATATCAATATCCGAAAATAGAAATTTTATTTAGACAAAAAGAGAAAAATATCCAAACTCACAATAAATATGTGTACCCTACTCACGCACATGGGCCCCAAAGAGTGGTAAAGCAGAAGGCGTCCTCTTTAACACTTAAAACCACATAGTATCGAGTAGCGATCTCAAAGACAACCTGTAACGGATTCAAGCTGGTGAAACGTTAGTGAAGTTTACAAGTGATGATGAATTTTTATTTTCATATCATTATAGTTTGTCAAATTGTAAAGAAAACAGACTGTGATATAAATCATATCATTTATATATTTAATGTGGGGAAAAGTGCATTTGGGGGAAATGTCCTGCACCCGGGTTAAAATATAGTTTGTTTTCAAAACCAAAACAAACTCTGAACGACCATATTATGAGTATAAACTTCATAAATAATCCAAAACTGGAACATAGGGAAGTGTAACAAATAGTGCCATATATATGAACGGTCACACAACTGTGAGGTGGCCGAAGTTGATGACAAATCACTTTTAAGATTATATATATATATATATAAACATAAATATGTAAGGGCACATCACATTCACATGCAGTCATATAATATTATCTTCATTCACAGCGTCGTACCGACGACATCATAAAAATAGAAAGAACTCATGCTTCTAACAAATACATTGAAGGATGTGTTATAATTCACAATAACTATATATACATTGTATCCCTATACATGTGTAATAATATGATAAATACAATTAATGATTACATTAATACACTAGAAATTACAAGCATACCCTGTAGGTGAAACTGGGGCGCGAACTGCGTTCACCAAACACAAACTGACAGGACTATGATTCCTGCATCTGAATACAAATACAAAGACAAATATACTTACTCAGTTAAAATGGGTCATTTTAGAATACATGACAAACCAATCAGAATGCGCGTATGATTTCAAGTTCTTCATCAAAAAATCCCCCAGAAATAATTACTGTTACATAAGGCTTAATATAGGAAAGAAGCCTGAGGTGGTGCAGATCTAATGGGGCCTTAATTACAAAGGATGGCGACCTTTGTGCCTCCCGTGTGCGACCATAAAATTTGCCAGGTTGTCGTTGGAGGCTCAAAGGAGGCAGAATGGTTGCCTAGGTCGTTCCAAGGTGGTACACAGGAGGTTCAGACATCGCCATGGACGCCGTCAATTTTTGAACATGTTCAAAACAGTTGCACAAAGGTCGCCGAGGAGGTTGGTTGTTCAAAGGTGGCTCAAAGGAGGCAGCAGGGAGGCACAAGCATTGCCGCTGATGCAGAATGAAGGCACAGTGATCGCCCAATGGTCGCCAGGTAACAGATGCGTTCTGCTGAAATATTTTCCCGTCAATCATGGGCGACGCTTCTGCCTCCCTTGTGCTTCCTTTGGGCGACCAACATCGTGCATTGAACGATGACCTTGGCGACCGCCGTGCCTCCATTCGGCGACCACGGCAACCCTTGAGACACCATGGCAATGCTTCTGCCTCTTTACTGCTTCCTTTGAGCTACCTGTAGTGCCTCCTCAGCCTGCCTATAAATAGAGGGCGTGTACCTGAAGTGTTTCATTTTGGTTGCAGACTCGAGCACTTACTGGTGAACATCTGCTGGGCAGGTACATAGAAACATGATTTTCTGGGTTTAGGCGACATTGAACGTCCTAGCCAGTTTTTGATCACTCAAAGGTGGCACAAAGGTCGCAGCCTTGTGTAGAGGGGCCTTAAGACGTGCGCCTTATGAGACATCGGCTCAACTGCAATGTAAAGTTCATATCGTAATGCACGGCAGGGCTGACAATGTCTTGGTTAAGGATCGCAGTCGCTAACTGTTAATGGTATGGAAATCTTCATCAATCAGTTCAACTAGACTGTTAGAGCCACAATCCCATAAAAGTTGAAGAAACTGTTTGAACCAGTTTTCCTTACGTCGAGGCAGTACAACTGATATAAGCCATTTAGCAGCGGAGATTCGGCCGTTGTTGTCAGCCAGTCTGTGCAGCAGTTGTCCATCTTCGTCGTCTTAAAATAAAAGTTAAAAAAATATTGTCTTGTTTTAATGCAGCAGTAAACCCTATCTCATCTTCATGAAGGCGGTCTATACATAATCAAAATAAACAAACAAGTGGTTGATATCACGAGCAACGTCCCACGCCGTCAGGGTACCATAAGCATGCCACACACCCAGTCTCGCTAGCGCATGACTACCAATTACTATTTAAGTTCACTCTGCCGACAAGATTGATTGGTTGGTTGTTTTACGCCGCACTCAGCAATATTCCAGCTATATGACGGCGGTCTGTAAATAATCGAGTCTGGACCAGACAATCCAGTGATTGACATCATGAGCATCGATCCACGCAATTGGGATCGATGACATGCTTCAAATCAAGTCAGCGAGCCTGACCACCCGATCCCGTTAGTCGCCTCTTACGACAAGCAGAGTCGACTTTTACAGCAAGCATGGGTTGCAGAAGATTTATTCTACCCCGGATCTTCACGGGTCCTGCCGACAAGAACTAGGAGATAAACCTACTGTGTTTTGAAATTTGATGTAGTCCCACAGTAGAGTAGATACCTCAAATTTTAATAAATAGGTATTTCAAAACACAGTAGGTTTATCTCCATTCTACCATGACGGCAACAACGCTTTGAAAACGGCGCTCTCTTGCAACGCGTTACAACACAGGCACACAAGTCCGCAATCTTAGAATATTCCGAAAAGTGGTCACAGGTAGTTATATATGTAACAATTATTACTAAAGTTCAAAATTAAAAACACCATAGTCGTGAGTAGTTCATAATAAGTGTTTAAAACACATAGTTTCTCAAAAGAAGTTGACTTTGATGTAGTCCCACTGCAGAACATGTACAGATACCTCTTTATCATAATATTGAACCGAGCGCTTTAGCGCGAGGTTCCGAATTATAATAAAGAGGTATCTGTTCTACAGTGGGACTACATCAAATTTCAAAACACAGTAAGTTTATCTCCTAAATTAATTGAGGACATCTATATTCTGCTCCTGATACCCCACAAAGTATTAAAATAACAATAATAATGCATTAAACATACTGATTGAGTGAAACAATACGGCGCGAAACTGTACTGTACTGGTAACATCAATACAATTCAGTTGAAATAAGTTCGAGATGCATATCAATGTTTGCCAAAATTCAGTGATTTAAGTGTGACAATTTCTTGGATAAACAATCCCAGACTGCTACATCTTTGACACAAACACATGTTGCTCGCATGTACCATCAACCTACCTCGTTTGCAATATCATAAACACACAATATCTCAACGTTTCCACAGGTTCCCCCTGTTTTCACTAATGTTATCATTTTATCCACATCACATGGGCTAGGTTTAACGTCGCGTCCAAGATTATTGCACTTAAATAGTGACGTGCATGCACGCGCATGTTTGTGTCTACGAAATATCGCAAAGGAATGTACCGCTTACCCGAATCACGAACTATCAATGTAGTATTACATATGATTAAAGAACTCCATTCTCAATACTTGGCATACCTCACACATTTGCAATGCGAATTGCGGCGCCTTACACTATTGGGCAACTGCTGACCGCTACAAAATAGGTATTACACTTCAATCGACCTAATGTATTTCAACACCCACCCATCCAGTCGTCCTCCACAAGCCTCGGATACAGGACACTGACGTCGATCGTCTCACTGATGTCTCTACAGAAGAACCGAATCAGTCTGCACTGCTCCCTGTGTGTGTTGGGATCAAGGGTGTCGTCCCCACGCAGTAGTTTAGACACATAGACATAACCTTGGGTGAAAGACATATAATATACAAGCAGAGCATTCACATGAACATTGAAACTTCACACTGACCAACACGAAGAAGTGATTTATCTGTATGAGCTTATGAAGCTAAGCATGCTGTAGTATTACCTATTCGTTATAGTGAAGATGGCTTAATTTATATTAAACATGCAGTCTTATTTGTGATCAGCTGCGTCGTGTGTTCCAGTCCTGAAGTGTCCCCGATTATGATCCTTCTGCACCGTGCCCGTCTTTGTCCTACATAGTTAGTACGCCGTGATATAAATGACAGTTAAAAGTGGCATTAAATCCGTCTCACTCACTTACTCTACAGATACCCACTGAGGGGCTGACAATTTGATATATTCTGGGGAGGGCCTGGGATTTTATCGAAAAAGAAAAACGTCCCCCACATTTGTTGAAAAAATAATTATGCTTCATATTGCAGAAACAAAAATTGTCTGCCACAAAAATTGCGATGATAAGAAATACATATTTTGGCTCATAGTTTTAAATTAATAAATATCTGGTTTTGCAGCTGTAGCTGAATAAATATCTGGTCTAAATACAAAATCCCAGCCCCCCCCCCCCCCCCGAATATCAAATGGTCGGTGCATCTATTTGAGCCTGAGTCGTTGAAACTTAAGCATATGATGAAGGATATTTATGAAAGGTTTAAGATAATACGCGGATGGTAATTATGTATTCACAATTACAATAATCAAGTTTATGATTTCGTGTTATATTTGTTGGGGTCAGTCAATTTACAAGTCCAAGTGTCATCCACAAATGCGATTCTTTTATTTAACATTTTCTAATCAGTTTTACCCTGTCAACCATTTCTGTTGAAATAGAACGACTAGATGGCTAGAACACATCATGTACCACAAGCTCATTGGTAGTAAAAAGTATCATCTGTTGGAACCTACCATCGAGCTCCAGTATCTGTGCAAACAGGTTATAGTCTCTTGGTTCCCCGTTTGTATTCAAATAGTCAAGGAATGCCTTTGTTGCTTGGGACTGTTGGTGAAAGTTTTCCAAAGCCATGATGTTATTAACTGTTTCTTGGTGCTCTGAAGGTAAAATGAGTGAGTGAGTGAGTGAGTGAGTAATGTCTGACAACGCAGTCAGCAATGTTCCTGCTACATACACATAGATACTCGAGACAGAGCAGGCAGACCAGCGATTGACAGCATCAGTTATCCATGCCGTTCAGATCCAAGCAAACGATCAGGTCACTCATCGTAACCCACCAAATCCTTATTCCCGTCTTTTCGTTTAATTATCAGTAATTAACCATTCTGTTCCGGAATTGCCACATGGTTGGTGCCAATCAAGCCACCAAACCAGGATGTGTGTGCAGAGATCATTATACAATTATTGCCACATTTAGAACAATGATTCTCTGTTACCGTTAAAATGAGTTTGTTACCTAAAATAAGCCTTCATACTCCATCTATGACATTGTACATGTTTTTCTTGATCCTAATTTTGTTAGCGTACTATGTGTTTCATAATACTGTCCATGAATACTGAAACCCCTCACCATATGACCGGTGAAGTAAGTATTTTATTATCCCATTGTGTTACCTTATGAACCATATGAACCAAAAAGTCTGAAAGAACACATTGCAATAATGATTTTTTTTGTTGCAGACAATATCTTTAATGTCAATATATGAAAGATAATTATTTTTTTCAAGGGAAATATGAAATCTCGAGTTAACAACCCAAATGAATAATATCAAAGTATCATTTACCGTAAATTGTCTTTTGAAAAACAAATCATTGTCTCTTCAATAGCCTCGCACTGCAGTGATTTGACTGCAGGAACACAGGGCAGCTGGTGGTGATTTCGTGGCTGTGAGGGTTCAACGCCGCTTTGACAGTAGCTTGATGTGGGAGGAAAGTCCGAAGTGATGCAATATTCCAGCTATATGACGACGGTCAGTAAATAATCGAGTCTGGACCAGACAATCCAGTGATTGACATCATGAGCATCGATCCACGCAATTGGGATACGATGACATGCATCAACCAAGTCAGCAAGCCTGACCACCCGACAAGCCTGTGTTGCTAAAGACCAAAACTAACCCGGAGCTTCACGGGTCACTACTTTGATGAAACCCATGAATAGATAAGGTGCTGACAAATCTAGAACCATATATAACCAGAGGGAACAGACTTTCCAACCACTAGGTGCATTTTCGGCACAATGTAGGTCTGCGTCGAGATTACTTGTGAACATTAAATAGACACTTAATGGAAAACCTCGGGCTTCTGCGAATGATAATGCCCTGAAAAATAGCGTTACCCTTATAATAACGTATTATCTAAATCTGAATACAAAATATGCATACTGTTAAATCCGTCGCATTAACAAATCATTCAGTAGGTTCTTTAAGATATTTATTCAGGAATGGTAATATATATGAACGTGACATTCACCATGCCTGATCAGCGTGCAGTGTGAACGGCGCACGTGAAGAAAAGGGAGTTACCTCCCCTAGACCACTACACGTGCCCACAGAAAAGACGCCACATAAATTTTAACTTAACGTCCCACATACCTTCGGGCACGCACATGCGTCCAATGATTGACCCACAACGCACGTGTTTTATTATGAGGGCTCTGTAATCATGTTGAACTCTGTCCTCAATAGATTTAGCGTTGGCACTAGGACATTGCAACCCTCCGCTGGCAGTCGCCATGTTCCGCCACTTGTGTGACAAAGTCTGAAATTAATACCTGGTAGAACTATATGTTGTTTGTACCGTTAAAAATACCGCTTTGAAAAATATACGTACTCAATTATAGTTCAAATAGTTAACATACAAATTCATAGCAGGGCCACACACAGATGTGTGTACCGTACGCGGTATCTATTTCAAATATTATCACCAGTCCAACTTGATGTTTTTTCACAGTACCTTTGGTTGCAGAAGAACAACACACCTGATCTGGTGTAGTCTTTTTAACCCCGTCGAACTGAGGAATATGATCACGAATTCACAGAATATCGCTCGGGTGACGTCAAGCTAATCTTAGTCTCGGGGAAAAACCTAGTTTCTGCATTTGGATGCGTTTGAGCGATACCGTACCAAATAACATGTTCCCGAAACAAGGGAGCTAACTGACTGTAAAAAGTCCAGTTTCCAGGTGGAAGCTGGACTTTTACCGTCAGTTAACTCCCTTGCCTCGGGAGATGAAACCTAATGGTTAGCATAAACCAACGCACGAAATTATCCAGCGAAATGTAGCTGTAGAAAATACAGATACAAGACAGAAGGATACAATGCCAACTAGAATGAGATCCATGAGTACACTGTGGTCTGTTCGATTTCCCACACGGGTACAATATGTTATGGCCGGTGCCCCCCGCCGTGGTATTTCTAGGCTATTGTTCACTCATTTCAGCGTAGTTAATAGTTGGTGTACATCATTTAACTCATCAGCATTTAGTGCATCTGAAGAGTGTGAAACGGTCTCGAAAATATGTTAATGTTCTAAACATCCTATAACCTATGACAAGGATTCTGAAGATGTCCTATGTCGTGTGTAACTGCATTTAGGTATAGCATTCATATTTAGTTAATTTATAAATAGTTAAAAAAAATAGTTTCGTGGTTTTTTTCGGAATCTTTATGCATAAATATAATACCTACTCGTGTCACGCGATTCCTATATTTTTTCCAAGGGAAAATTGCTTTAAATTTCGCATAAAACTGTTTTGTGGTATGCCAAGATATAGCACAACATATAACGACGACATGCACAAATATTGCACAATCCGTATGGCTTGTATCACAAGCTGAGGTGAGGTGAGATGGGGTTTAACGTCGCGTCCAAGATTATTGCACTTACATAGCGACGTGCATGCACGTGTATGTGTGTGTGTGGCTGCTTGTACTAGTCCGGACTGATGCCGATTTATAGTGCTAGCACACTGAGATACCATGCCGCAGTTTAACATGAATACCCCACTCAGACACAGTATACTGACTCCGAGCTGACCAGTCCTTGTTTTAGCCCCTTAATACCATCTTTTAACGTCTTTTGGTATGACGCGGCCAGGGATAGAACCCTGGACCTTCCGCTCTCCGGGCGGACGCTCTACCTCTAGACCACGGAGGCGGTTTTGTATCACAAGGAATACTATATGTAGTGTATATGACAATTACATACGTACTTGGAAAGTATTCTACTACGCCTACCTGTACATTAAGTAATCATGTTTCATTCTGTTGAAAAAAAGGAAACTGCTTGCCACAAAAATTACATTTCTGTAAGGTGTTATTCTCTTTAAAAAAACAGGCCCATGCCTTGAAGTTAAAAAGGATCTGGTTTTGTAGCTGTAGCTAAAAATATACCTGAGCTCGATACAAAGTCCCAGGCCATCCCGACATTATCAAATGGTCGGTCCCGACATGCCGGTGTTCTAGTAACATATCATCTACAGTATCTAGCGTCTAAGTTGAACTGTGTCTCATTGCATGATACTTGGCAACGCTCAACTCGCTGTACACTGATGTCAACAATAGGTGTGAACAGTGTTTGAAATAAGCTCCTGCCCGTAAGCCCGTTGGTCCTTATATTATGGCCTGCTGTAAATTTACATGTCGATTTATTTATCACAATAAGCTGTAATTTATTAAATAAGGGCCTGAAGAGTTTAGTGTGCAGCTTCTAATGTTTGTGGGTCCTAATCGCAGTCCTGGATTTTTTTTATTGATTTGAAACACAAGGTGTTAAGCACGTCAGCATTCATCTAGAATCACTTCGTAGTGTGACGGGGGCACGGGTGGCCCAGTCGTCTAAGGCGCCGCGATTCGCTGTGCAGAGTTGCGTCCCTTGGGCACGCCAGAAACCTATGATTGTGGGTTCGAATCCCGGTTCGCCCCGATTATGTTTCTAGGTTTGTCAGCACCATACCCGTGCTTGTGGGTTTCACCGAAGTGGTAAACGTCTGAGACCTGCATCACTTCGGGCTTTCCTCCCACATTAAGCTGACACGCCGTGATATAACTGGAATATTGTTAAAAGCGGCGTTAAACCCAACTCACTCACTCACTCACTCACTCACTCGTAGTGTGAGTGTAGGCTGTGAAGTGTTTCAGGTAGCTTATCCGTTTCAAATAAAGTGGACTGAAAAAATAATACGCGAAAAATTTCAAATTTCATTAACACCTACGTGTAGTTATAGATATGAATGATTTAACAGAGTAATACATTGATCGATGGGTCAGACGAGTTAGCGGAAACACATGTATGTTTTGTCCGTATCGCGCATATGACATTTACACTTATGACCATGTGAAGAGGGATAGGAGATTGGAGTTTTGTGAGACACAGGATATTTGTATTAATGTTACTGTTTCATTTGTTTCCACACATACATTTCTACAGTATGTTCATGAAGTATGAACCCACAATACTGGACATCTGACCCGTGAAGGTCCGAGGTAGAATAGGTCTTCAGAAAACATTTTTGTCGCAAGAGGCGTCACTAATTGTCGTAAGAGGCGACTAACGGGATCGGGTGGTAAGGCTCGCTGACTTGGTTAATGCATGTCATCTTATCCCAATTGCGTAGATCGATGCTCATGATGTCAATCACTGGATCGTCGGGTCGTGATTCGATTATTTATACACCGCCGTCATACAGCTGGAATATAGATGAGTGCCGCGCTAAAAATAAACAATCAATACTGGATATCCAGTGAATAACATATTTTCTTTGGTGCAATGTCTTCTAAATCCAAGCACGCCGATTATCATAGTGGGACAGACGCACCGCTCCTCCCAAGATGTATGTAAGGCAACTTGGCGCTCTCTCCTGAATCTGCCCTTGTCTGTATAAAGTCTATACCTTTACAATACAGTCATACTGTATCCTTAGGTTTCACAAAAAATATGCCCATGAGACAGTTAACTTTGTTAAATAGTACACATTATGGAGCAATATCTTGTGAAGGGGAAATCGGCTTTTGGAGTGGTGAATAAATTATGTAACAGAATTGTGTAATCACTAAAACTACTTAATTTGTTATAGCTCATAAAATATAGATACATAAAAACAAACGAAGATACATGCAGCAAATACCAAACTTTCCACCCAATATCGTGACACCTAAACCCATTTCAGTATTACCGGGCTAATTTCCCTAAGTAACGAGTTTTTTTCCGTTTTTCAACACTAACAGTTGGGTTTTTCACAGAAAACGTTTTAGAAACATGAGCGTGTCGCATACACGCAGCCATCTTGAACATCTTGAAAGCGAAAGTGAAAATCAATATCTGTCATGTGTTATATCAATGATAGTCAAACACAATTTGAAAATACGTTGCACTCGTGAAATATTGTTTTAATAGAAATATTGTCATTACATAATGCATAATGTTACTTGGAATATTGTTCACCTATCATGCGGTACTCCCATACGCCCAATGATAGAACCGCAACGCAGGATTTTTCAGTTACTATCAAGTCTGTGCATGTATACATGTTGTACCATACACTCGACGGACTGCAACCACATACCTTCCGCCACTGTTGCCATAGTTACGGATGAAGATCCGGACAATCATGTGGTTATCTCTGAACAGGGAACCCTGATATAACACTGATGGGGTTAAACTTTATAAAAAAAATCTTCTGTGCAGTGATGGGCTATAAACAAAACATGGAGAAATTAATGACCGCCACGGTCCCGACAATATCAAACCGCTACCGAACAATGTACCTTCATCGTAACCCTATTTAATGACCATGGTGTATTTTAAGATTCTTGGAAATCTACCAGGCGTTTAGGCGATACCGATTTTGTTCGAGTAACTGCTATCTTCAGCATTCTTCAAATGATGCTAAATTTCACAGTAGTTCATTGTAGATATCACTCTTGCCTGGGGCTGTCAGCCGAGCGGGCCCACTGTCTAATTGTCCAATCACGCGACAGTATAACGGAATTCCCACAATGCTATAATTAGACCTCAACCTGGGCAGGCAGTTGACGTGGACCTATATTGAGAGAAGACGGCCACAGATACCCATGACAGCTACTGGAGTGCTTGTATCCGTAATGGAGGGTCCTATACTGATCATGTTGTCAGAAGATTAGGGGGTGATTCTGTTGTGGAATGGCGGAAGGAAGCGTGGATCCGTTGCATGGCAACAGTGCTGTCGACATCAAGTTTATGGTAGAGAATGTTTATCGTGATGCCATCATTCGGCAGGTTCGATGTGGATCTTTCATTGCACACATGTGTTTCCCTCAGAGTAAGTGTTTCTTTTTTCTTGTTGTTTTTATCTTAATAATGTAATTTGATACTGACATGAGGACATTGAGTTATGTTAACGCCGCGGCGAAATACAATCCTACTTTCGGTTTCGTTTCACTGAAATTAAGTATTTAAAGACTGCCGACGTACATAGAAGTGTTGAACTATTTATCAGTCTTAGTGTTTGTTTGTTTGTTTGTGTGTGTGTGTGTGTGTGAGTGAGTGAGTGAGTGAGTGAGTGAGTGAGTGAGTGAGTGTCTTTCGGTTCGTGTCAAACCATCAACGTGATTATTGTGAACGTGCCCTTCCTGTTAACACGACGTCGTTGTGTTAGTGGCAATAGCACATTAAAAATAACTGTAGATAGTACTATTCTGTTACCAAGTGCAATGTTGCCTTTCCACTTTTCATATGAAGGCAGAACGACACATCTACTTGCAGAATAGCATGCATCAGAATTTGAAACGTTCACCTTGAATCCATAGATACAAGCTCGTCATTTTCAGATTGAAACAAATAAGGAACTTCCCACTAAAAGATAATGAAGATCTCATTTCTGATTCTACCACGAATTTGGGAAATACTCGATTCTTAGTGGTCAATCAGAGGTATTAAATGACAATAACGATCTGATTGAAACAGCCGATTTGATGACAACATCACCGCAGTTCTCCTTGCTCAGTCATTGTCGGTAGGCGTTTGTAAACAATTATATTTACAATTATAGGCAATACTGTGCACATCTGGAGTAGCTACAATATACAAAGTATGTATGGC